CGCCCCTCTCGGAGAGCCCGGCAAGCTACCGAGAGTATTCGATATGCCAGACACAGTAACAACAAAGTCTCCAATGGAGACGTTATTGGGCCCGCTCGAGCAAATCGACGATCAACGGGAGGGCCTTTACCTTTACCTTACCTTTACCTCATTGTAAATAATTCTGCAATAAATTTTGGAACAGATAGAACTTTTGTGTTAATATTTTGTATTTTTCAGACAGCTACACCAAAGTAGGATTGCTAGATCGTATGGGAGGTCTATTTTCAGCTACATGAAGAAGCTTCAGACGTACTCATTGACTGCACCAATTACATTACTATATCTGCACAAAATTTCTGTTTTTTTTTATGTATAGTAAGTGTGGCTATTTTTAACTGTCTGAGAGTTTCGCTGTCTGACTCCTTTTAGGGTTTATTTTATTCTCTATTGTTTCTGTTATAATCTTCCCATTCCTTGGGTGACTGGTTATTTGTATGTATGTACTGGACAGGTTTTGAAAATTTTAGAAATTATTTCATGCTTAGAACATATTATTTTATATATGCTGTTATACGATCTGATAAAGAAAACCCTTTAGTTGCTTATGTTAAGTGTTTTGGAGAAGTAGGTAAAGAAATCATCCTGAGCTCACCCAAGCTCAGAGTTGAGATGACTTGAAACTGAGATGGGGAAGTCATCTAGAACAAAGCAACTTGGGTTTCTAGTCCAAAGCAAGGAGACTAACACAGTGACCCTCCGTACCCCTCTTCTCACCCTAAATTAAAACCGATGATCATTTATGGACTGGACAAATAGACCTCTGAGACTTCATGATTCCTCAGATAATAGGTTGGTAAATGCTATCTTGTAATCTCTTTGGCCTTCTGATATTTTTAATATTTTGTTGATTTTCTAGTTTGGCAATAAAAAGACTGATTTAAATTACTTTTGATACCAAGATTTATAGAAATATAGATACTGTACAAATAGGTCATTGATTTTAGTAAGTACCTTGAAGAATATCTAAGAGAAAAATTAGATTTTTATACACAATTCTAGCTTTAATTCTAAATTCCTAAATACACCACTATGTAGGAATATTGTATCCTAGTTCTGATAGTATGTACTTTGAGGAAAATTACTTACTTTTGTTGGCATTATTAAATATCAACTCTTTTCAAAAGCTGTCCTAAGAAACTAGATTGTAAAGCTGAAAAAGACTGAAAGGGGCTTGAAATCTGTATTTCTTCTTAGTTAACTGATTATTTTTGGAATCAATTCAAGATCAAAAAGACATTTGTTAAGTATATGTAGTCCAATAATAAATACATTTAAAATATAAAAATGTATATTGGAGTTCCTGTTATTTTTCTGCCCAAACTGGAGGGCATTTTAAGTAACAGATATGCTAGTGCACTTGTCTTCCGGTGAAGTTTATTGTTGAAAATTTATTTATTTATTTATTTAAGGATTTGAAAAGGGCTAAAAGAAAACTAGAATGTAGAGTGCCTGCCAGCTAAAACAAGGCCCTGTGGTCATCTCTATCACTTCCTGTCTGGTTCCTGCTAGCAACGCAGGTGTAGGCCTGCTGGTGCCCCGCCTCAACACAACTGGGCGTGGCCCCGGGAATCCCAGTGTTCCCGGAGTACAGCTGGATGTGGCTTTAACGACCCTGAGCACTGATTGGTTGAGCATTGCAGGAAGTGACCCTTATTTTTTTTTTTTAACAACTTTTTAATGTTTTAGAGAAAGAGGTTGCTTTCTCGTTTTTTCTTTTTGGGAGAGACGCATCAGTTTCACATGGGATCTTAAATACCAGGTTTCTCTTTCTCCTCAATTAAGCTCCAGTTTCATATCCTTTTTACTCTTAGAAACTGGGAAAAGCCATTTTTCCTCCCCAAGCTGCTATTTTTTATTTAATTTTGTTGATGTTTGGGGGCTACATTTGGCAGTGCTAAGGGATTAAACCAGGATTGGCTACATGCAAGGCAAATGCCTTAACCATCTCTCTCATCCAATAATCTTTTTTTAAAATTTTTGAGTCACACCCAGCGATGCACAGGGGTTACTCCTGGCTCTGCATTCAGGAATTACTCCTGGCGGTGCTCACGGGACCATAAGGGATGCTGGGAATCGAACCCAGGACAGCCACGTGCAAGGCAAATGCCCTACCTGCTGTGCTATTGCTCCAGCCCCTCAATAATCATTTTATCAGAGCTTTTAAAACTAATATTCAAAGTTCACTAACTTAGCCTTTAAGAATTCTATGTAAGAATAGAAGGATTCAAGAATGCTATATAAATATACCAGGATACAAGTTTGACACATTTCCTAGCCACAGTATGAGCCATACCCACAGAGATTACTGAAACATGCCCAATCTGTGGTGAAGCAGTCAACGGAGAAGACATAAGGAAGATAGCCCGACAGAACTCAGTGGATGCAGTGGAGACATTTGCATTTTCATGTAGAAGTTACATAACTTAGGATTTTTTTTCTTGTGCATGATAGACTGTGCTCATAGTGGACATGTCTCTAAAGAATACATCACTCCAGACTTCAAATTCTGTGATTCTCCTCAAGTTGAGCAGGACCATTTGAATATGAGTTTAAAATACGTTAGAAAAAATAGAAACAAAAGTTTGATATATCAAGAAAGTAGCACTGTAGCACTGTCCTCCCGTTGTTCATCAATTTGCTTGAGTGGGCACCAGTAATGTATCCATTGTGAGACTTGTTGTTACTGTTTTTGACATATCAAATATGCCATGGGGAGCTTGCCAGGCTCTGCCGTGCGGGCAGGATACTCTCGGTAGCTTGCTGGGCTCTTTGAGAGGGACGGAGGAATCAAACCCGGGTTGGCCTCGTCCAAGGCAAATGAGGGCACCCGCTGTGCTATTAAGAAAGTACCAACTGTAAAGGGATGAAGGTTTATTTTAGCAGCCCCCATGACAATGGCCAGTAGACATAACAAGATGGGTCTGAGAAGGTTGTGGAACTCCAGAGACTACTTTCTATCAACCTTTTTCTCCTTTCCCATCCTCTCTTTTCACTACACTCCTCCAGGACCTTTCTTCAAATTGTTCAGACAAGGGACAATATTGGTGGCTTTGAAGGGAGAAAATGAAGCAACTTTTGCTTCAGCTTAAACCAGTGTACGTGGTGCCTTATGCAAAATGTAGCTGAGGGTCTCCACTATGGTGCAATGAAAAACAGATGAAACTCAGAAGATTTTGGACAAATGATACAAATGCAACATTTTTATCAGTGGAAGGAGAAAATGTGAACACTTCAATGTTTTCACATATTCTGATGCTTATAATTCTGTATCTCTGTGATCTCTGAAGCTTGACTAGTTTGTGAGTAGGTAGCCTGTTTCAAACTTAGTTCACATTACACTCCGAGCTGTCATATACCCAGTGACATATATCATTATACTATACTGTCACATCCACATCATAGACTGTCATATGCATAGATAGAAAACTATCATAAAATTCAGTTAACACCCTTTGTTCAGGAGGCAACTGAACTTCAATTAGTACCTACTATGCATGCATCAGTCATTTTTAAGGACTCTTTCATGTATTATTTCTTCTTTTTAATCTTTTTTAAATTACCCTGATTCAAAACATCTTTTTATCTAGTTCTTACTCTGGAGAACCTGGCAGGCTACCGAAAGTATCCTGCCCGCATGGCAGAGTCTGGCAAACTCCCCGTTGCGTATTCAATACCAATAACAATGATGGGTCTCGTTCTCCTGAACCTGAAAGAGCCTCGAATGTGGCACTTTCTAAAATCTCAGGGTTAAGACGAAGGAGCCGTTACAGGTGCCTGCTTGAGGAAATCGATGAACAACAGAATGACAGTGACTGTGACAGGGAATTTTTTTAATCACCCTGATTCAGTAAGTTGTTCACGACTGGGTTTTAGTCATGCAATATTCCAACACCCATCCCTTCACCAGCATACACTTCTCACTACCAATGTCATTTTAGTTCATTCCACACACATTTGAAGCAGATGAAAACACATTTGAAAACGACTCGAGTGTTTGTAGGTGCGGATACAGATATTAAGACACTTATTTATCAGGATCAAATTAAGAGAAAAAGGAAGATTTACAGCTGCCACTTACATCTGACTTTATTTTTTCCCCTCTGAAACCTGTTTCCTTCTGTGTAACGTGGTAATTCGTTAAGAGTCAGCATAGTCAGATTTTCAGACTTGGTAATAAGACGAACCACAAGAGACATCTCAAACAGAGCATTCTTATGTTTTAAAGTCCAGCTCCCTAAAACTCAGATTGAACTGGCCACCTTCAAGGCCACACTCCCTTAGCATCTGCGTCGTGCCAATGCATGTCCAAGATTTCAGGCAGCCCCTGGTACTCAAGGGCCCAGGAAACGCTCTGCTTACTACAGTTTGGTGTTGGATGCCCAAATCCTTCCCCCCTGCCCCGGAGCCTAGGGGTTTCCGGGGCACAATTTCAGTCCAGCGAGTGGAACTCAGCATCGCTCTAGCTTTCCCCCCGGCCAGACAATGGTGGGAAACGCTCCGGGGACGCCCACAAAACCCAGGGCTGGCCGGGTCGGGCCCAGACGGCCGGGGGCGGCGCCCCGCCCCTGCGGCGCCTGGGCCACTCAGCGGCCGCGCCGCGCCTCGCCGCGCTCCCATTGGTCCCTCTCGGCCGGGCGAGGCCTTTCCATTTTCCCGCCTTCCCCGGCCGTCGGGAGCCGAGTCCCGCCGCGGCCCACGTCGGCTCCGCCCGCCTTCCGCGAGCGCCCCACCCTTCCGGACGCCGCGCTCCCCCCGCCCCCGCGGCCCGGCCAGGGGTGGGCGGGCCCAGGGCGGGCCGGGCGCGGGCTGACTCGCCGGAGCCGCGGGGGGCGGGGCCGCGGGGCGGGGCCACGCGCCCGGGCGCCGCGTTGCCATGGCAGCGGGGGGCGGCGGGGGGGAGGAGGAAGCGGGGGGGGGGGGGATGAGGCGCTGCCGCGGCCGCCGGCGCAGCTGCCGCCGCCTGCTCGTTGCCGCGTCGGCCCGGAGGCGGCTGCCGGGCGCCGCGGGGAACAGCTGCGGCGCGGCTCTGCCATATTGCGTCTTCCCGGGGCCGGCCTCGCCTCGGCGCCGCGGCGGCCGAGCTGACGGTGAGTGCGGGCCGGGGCGGCGGCGCGTGCGGCCCGGGACCGAGGTGGCGGGGAGGGTTCGGCGCGGCCGCGGCGCGGGAGGCGGCGGCGCGCGGCGGCGGGGCCGAGCCGGGGAGCGCGGCCGGGACGGCGGGGGCGCGGGTGGGCGCGGGGCGGGCCCCGGATGTGGGGGCCGCGCCCGGCCGCCGCGTCCGCCCCGCGGCCGAGGCGCTTCCTGTTCCCCGACGGGGCGCGGCGCCGCTCGTCCTCGCCGCGCGGCTCGGGGGCTCCGGTCCCGGGTCCCGGCGGCGCCGGCGTCCTCCGCAGCTGGGTGACAGCCACGTGGCCGCCCTCGGCCGCCCGCGAACTTGGCCCGACCGGCCGGGGTCCCCGCACCGCCAGCGGCCGAGGCTGACAGCGGCGCCCGCCGCTCCGGGGGACGGTTCGCGCGACCCCAGCCCCTGGGCGCGGTCAGTGCGGTCAGCCTGAGCCGCACGAGCCGCGCGCGGACCGGACCGGACCGCAGCGCACCGGACCGCGCCCGTCGTGGGTTCCCGAACCCGGGCGCGGTGCGAGCTGCGGGGAAAGCGCCTGTGAATCTCCAAGCCTCGAGACAAAATCTGGTTCTGCCTTTTTTTCCTGGAGGATTTCTTGGGGGTCGTTTTGTAAAAGTCATTTACACTGAAAAGTCATCCTGATCTTTTTCATACACATTGGCGTCTGGTCAGATAGATCTTCGCGGAAATCGCCCGCTCGGGCACGCGGCGACTCCTTTGTGTGAACTCCCTTCAAGTTTCCTGGGGGAGAAGTTCACCCGGTGTCAGCCCGAGCAGCTTTCACCACAATTTTTACGAAAAATTGTTGACGAAGATTTTACGGAGTTGATTGCTTCGGATATTTAAAAGTAAAACCAGAGTGGAAGATAGAATACACATGAACTTTTGGGGGAGTCTGGAAATGCTTAGAAGTACAGTTCCAGTACAAACTCCTTGAGTTTTTTTCTGTAGCTTTTTTTTTTTTAAATTGAGTTTTACTTGAAGAGTGCTAAAAACCACAAGAAACGTTTAGGACGTGTAGAGAATTGTGTAGAGACGTTGTGGGGCACAGTTTATTAGAAGTTGAATTACACCACAGTGATGGTACTCCAATCTGTGATGACAGTGAGTAAAGATTGGCGAGGCTTCAGATCAGGAAAGGGAAAGCAGCCGATCTGAGTTTGCTGACCATTGAGATGCTTGGTTAAGAAAACTCGAGGAGTTGATGAAATACAAGTAAAGCCGGAAGCAGTGAAAATGTGGAAGGATGAAGTTAATTAGATTATCATCAGATGGAACTTTAAAAGTGCGAGTCAAGCAAATTGTAAGGCAGATTATTGTTTAGCCAGTCATTGTGTGTGTTGCTTTTCTTTTTTTTTTTTTATTACTTTTTATTTAGTTTTGCTTTTGTGGGCTGAAGCGATAGCACAGTGGGTAGGGCGTTTGCCTCGCGCACAGCCAGCGCGATTCCTCAGCCCCTCTCGGAGAGCCCGGCAAGCTCCCCGTGACGTATTCAAATTGCCAAAAACAGTAACAGCAAGTCTCACAATTTGTTGTGAGATGTTACTAGTGCCCGCTGGAGCAAATCGATGAACAATGGGAGGACAGTGCTACAGTTTGCTTTTGTGGTTATTGTGATTGAACCCAGGGCCTCGGAGGTGCAAATGCAATGGGCCACAGAGTTTGATCCCCAACCTGTGTGTTGCTTTTGGATTGCTGTCACGTTAGCAGTTGGGTTCTGCATCAATGCAAAAAGCCCTCCAAAAATAAAGCTTTGAGAACATAATCTTTTGTTGGGGGAAAAAAAAGGACTTGAAAAATAAAAGCGTTACAGCATGAGAGAGTGTAATTAAGAGTTAAATTGAATGATGCAGACAGGTGCTGTAAGAGTAAGAGATTTTAATAGATATGCTTCTTGAAAAAGGCTCTTTCTAAGATCTAACCTCCTGACAATTTGATTAGATTACTTTTCCTGAAGATCTCACTCTAATGATACCAAATTTCATCTCAGAACTTTTCAAACACACTTCTCCCATCTTCCTGGGATCTAACCCAGAGCAAGCAACGGCCCCAGCTAACCCTCCCATCTTACCCTCTACTAGCCTACAAGAACTGTGTTTAATCCCAGCTTGATAGTGGTAGAGCAGTTTTATTTTCTTATTTATACGTTTTTATTTCTCGCTTTTAACATTTTCCTGTTAGATATTCACTTGGACTCATATCCTTAAACCTACCAAAGATCTGCTTAAACTTGAGACTTAGCTTGAAATCTTGGTTGTCCTGGGAACTCAAGAATCATAGACCTTGTCTGACCCTTCAAATTGCATGTAATAATTGCATATGCTCTTTTCTAACAGTATATAATAATTTTGAACAGTGGCATTCTGTACTAACTTATTTTCATATACTGCTTTTTGAGCAACTATTCAGGCTCTGTTGTAGGAGTTGAGCATACCACATTGAATAAGACAAATTCCCATATTCTTTGTTTCTCTCAGGTTTTATAATCCTAGAGATGATAAGTCTTTGATCACACAGAGAAATGTTATAGTCTCAGACGTACACTGTATGCACAGAGAATATGTGATTATTTTCTAAATAAAAGGCAGTACTTAATGGTAGAAGCTAGAGACTTGGCTGGAAAGGTTTTTTGTTTGCCTTTTTTTTTTTTAAACATGAAAAGGGAACAAAAGAGAATAACTGGATTATAGACCTGAAAACATCACTACTGAATTTAAATTCCTTTAAACTTCATCAAAAATAAAAATTACGTTTGAGGCTGACAAACACATTAACATCCTTACTCAAAGACTTATTTCACTCCTGTGTACTTAGACTAATTATTAACTCTAAGAATGGAGAGAAATAGGAGAATGATCTGTTGAAAAGAATTAACTGAGGAGATTTGGTTGTAGAGTATCGAGAAGATTCATTAGTTGAGTGTAAAGTGAATAGGAACTATCACAGTGAATATGACCATGAATGATTGGAAAGTAGAATTGTGGGGTAATTCACAACTAACGTATAATTTTTAAAATTTCGGCTATACTAAATATAAATATACATAATTGATAGTAGCAGTATTATAGATTGATAGTAGCAGTATTATAGATTAAGAATGATGCCTTAGGAAGCAGGAATTCAAGGGGCACTTGCTGTGATCTGTGTGACTTTATAATTAAAACTATAGACTCATGCAATGTCCTTTTTATTTCTTTTTATTTTGGGACCACACCCAGCGGTGGGTGCTCAGGGCTTATTCCTGGCTCTGCACTCAGGGATTACTCTTGGCAGGCTGGAGGTACATTATAGGGTACTGGGGATTGTAAGCACATTGGCCTCACGGGAGTCAAGTGCCTATCACTATACTATCTCTCTGGCCCCCTACTGGCCCCCTGCAGTGTCTTAATAACTTTGCAACTATGTTGGTACTCATTCTTTGTCTTACCAAGAGAAATCAAAAGAATGTTTATCTTCATTAACTTCTAAAGTATTTGGATTCATGTATTCTGTATTTTCCTTACCCAATTTTTATTAAACTATATTTTCACTAATATTTCTAGAAAAATTCTAGAGTTCTGACTATACCTCTAGGTTTACCTATAAGTTTACCTATAGTTAAAACTTCTTGTTACAATTTATCGCATCTCAGGAAACAAAATTGCCTCCATCCTATCATTGAACTCTGTACTTTATTATTCACAACTCACCCTGAGCCGATAATGTCCTATTCAAGAATTCCAGTTTCTCAGACTTATTCTCTTTGATAACTATGACAATTTAAGGAATACTGGTCAGAAATTTTTACAGATTTCCTCCATTGAAATTACTCTCATATTTTCCTCATGATTAGAGGGTTAATGGTTTCTGAAGACAGCTGAAGCCAAGTGCCGTTCTCTTATTATTCCAAGGGTGCGTGGTAACAGTATAATGAATTTGGTGAAGTTAACCTTGATTAAGTGCTTGACATGTTTGCTTGGTTGATCCTCTCCCATTCCTACTCCACACACCCTTTTCTACTATTGTTTTGTTTTGTTTTTGGCTACACCCAGCAGTGCTCAGGGCTTACCCTGGCTCTGCTCTCCCAGGTCACTCCTAGCTGCCTTGGGGGACCATATGGATGTGGTACTGGGGATCAAACCCAGGTGAGCCGCGTCCAGGGCGAGAGCCTTGCCTACTGTATGCTCTCTGAACTCTGTTCATAGAGAACTCTTTGTAAGCAAATACTGAGCACAGTCTACACTCAAGAACGAGAACCTAATTTTCATTCAAGTATACTTACCTCTGTTCACCCAATTTTCTTTTCCACAAAGAAAAACAATTAAATCTTGGACATACATTATTATTTTTTTTATTTTGCTTTTTCCCTCTCCGAGAGCCCGGCAAGCTACCGAGAGGATCTCGCCCGCACGGCAGAGCCTGGCAAGCTACCCGTGACATATTCGATATGCCAGACACAGTAACAACAAAGTCTCCAATGGAGACGTTACTGGGCCCGCTCGAACAAATCCATGAACAACGGGAGGACATTTACCTTACCTTATTTTGCTTTTTGGGTCACACCTGGCAATGCACAGGGGTTACTCCTGGCTCTGCACTCAGGAGTTACTCCTGGTGGTGCTCAGGGGACCATGTGGGATGGTGGAATTGAACCCGGGTCCGCTGCATGCAAGGCAAATACCCTACCTGCTGTACTATCACTCCAGCCCCAAGGGCATACATTATTGAGTTTTCTTTTTGTTTGTTTTGTTTTGGGGCCACAACAGTGTGCACATCTCATTCCTGTCTCTGCTTCAGGGATCACTGCAACCTGAGGTCTGGGAACTGTGTGTGGTGAGGGGAATCAAACCCAGGTCTGTCATGTTGAGTGCAGAGCAAGCACCTTACCTGCTGTACTGTCTCTCCCACTAAGTGCTAGGAATATAGTGGTGAGAAAGACGTCATTTCTACTCTTCTAGAAACTGCTGATGTAAACGTAAAATAGAA